CCCACCTCTTCTCCCGCCGTCTTACTCCCGCCGTAGTAATCAGGCGTACTACGCGTGCTTCGCGAATTCTGGCGTTCGCGATGCCTGCTCCGGCTCGACCTGCGACGCATCTCCTTGCTACGCCGCCTTGCGCGGTAGCGGAACTCATCATTCTCATCCGGATCCCCATCGAACCCACCAGAGAACGCCAGCGGGCTGATGAAAGCTTCCATGCGAACTGTGCCGATGGCATCGAAAAAGTTGCTCGGCCGCGAGGAAGCCTCCGACGTTCGCTGCGACCCTGCCGTGCTGAGACCCCAGCTGGGACCCCCGCTTGACGCCTGTGATCGATGCGACTGATAGATATCAGACGAGCCTGCCGTGCCAACGCTGTTGCCTGCGTTGCTGTCGGTGTAACTGTGGCCTGCTGCTGGGCCCGAGAAGCCGCGGAACGATAGCGGCGGTGGCACATGGCCACCCGTGTTGCTACGCTTTCTACCGTGCACCATAGCCTGGCTGCTTCGCTCGTGGAAACGTGGAATGAAGGGCGGTTCGGCCGCATCACTCGACTGCTCGCGCTGATGGTGACTGCTCATTGGCAACGGCGGAAACGTCTCGGTCTGCCTGGAGCTGCTGACATCCCCGACCTGCGACGACGGTGCGCTCGGGAGGCTGCTGGGGATGCTGGGAATGCTGGGCACGGGAGGCTGCCGGAACGATGGCGCCTTACTTTTGGTCAAGCGAATCGAGTCCCGGATGCCTGTCTTCCGTTTGGGCTGAGGCATCTCAAAGTCTGGCAGTACTGTCTTGGGTGGCGGAGGGGCCGTGATGATCTCGGGTACCGCTTGCTGTGAGTGAGCAAGGAAAGACAGCGCTGTCAGCCAGATGTAATGACGGTCTGCCGACACGGCCGTAAATTTGAGGGCCCTCTGCGGAGTCAAAATCAAGATGGACCGGTTGAAAAGTGTCGCCCCGCCCTTGGGCGTCGGGTTGTCGTCCTTGACGTCGAGAACAGACTGAATCGTCACTGCAAAAAATGTAAGCTGCATGACCAACATCAAGTCAAGCTGGAAGTTACTTACGCTTTCGGCCAGCCTTGCCCATCAAGGCGCTGCCAGAATTGGGCTGCTTGCTGCTCCACAAGATGGCACGCTCGTATGGAGCCAGCCAAACCCATCTCTTGTGACGGTCGTTGCTGTTGTCATCCTTGCCGTTTGTTTCTGGTACGCCAAATGACTTTCGCCTCCTCACGTACTTGAACATCCATTCGCCGACCATTGTCTGAGCGATGGCATCTACAACGCCGGTGGTTGGCGAACCGCCTCCGATCGAATTCAGGTCTGTCAGGTTCGTCTGATACGTTTGACTTGTCTGGGCTGTGTTTGTCGATGGCTGTGACCGGTGGGACGACCTGAAGCGTGATCGACTGGGCTCACGATGGCTCATGGAGGTAATATCATTGTGCGGCAGCGGCGGCAGGCTAGGGCTTTCGGGAACTTCTGTCGTCTCCGAGAACGGCGGTGGCGAGCGGCTTTGTCGCCTGTTACGCTGGGTGCGTGGCAGAGCCGCAGCCGAACGCACTTTGCGGATACTGTTCGCACGGTAATGGGTACGGCTACTTCCTCTCCTGTGCCAACCGCCCTCTCCTCGTGTTGGGCTTCGCTGTCCATCGCTTGGCGCGCTAACACTGAATGGCGGCCGCCTAGAGCTCGCCCTCGTTGGAATGGGGAAAGGGGGATCTTGAGGATCTGGTAGGCTGGGACTCCTAGAACGTCCTTGGTGGCTTGCAATGCCACTCTGGATGAGAGCAGCCCGGCGCATCCCGTTCGGCTTGCTGCTTGGTCCGGCAATGGACTTCTCCACGCTACGTTGAGCACCCATCTGGACCGACGTTCTCGGGCCAGGGTCTCTGTCCTTGTTGACAGTCTCCTTGCCCTGCAGACTATAGCTATAGCTTTCAGTGCCGAGCGGCTTTGCGGAGCTTCTCGGCGCGGAATGATACCTCATTGAATCATGTTCTGGAGATGTCGCCGTTCCGGATGACCTTCGCTTGGATGGTTTTACCACACTGGACTTGGGTCTCTGGCCAGGATGTGACAAAGCCGTCTGGAACTCAGGGTCGCTCAGGTCACCATCGCCAAAGTCGTCCGCTTCATCGGAGCTGTTGGCATCAAATCCTGCAAAGAGACTGCTAATGCGATGGGGCCGGCGCATCGGCGCCTTTCGACTCGAGAGTGGCCCGTCGTCGTTGTTGCCCGGGTAGGCGTCATTGTGCGTGTTTTCAGGGCCGTTGGAGAGCCCCCCCGAGAAAGTTGGCGAGATCGGAGGCGCGGGAAGTGGTGGTGATGGTGACACTTCACCAATGCTGCGCCTACTCGTCAAACGTCTTGGGTTTCTAGGCGGCAGATTGTTGGGTGCGGGCGTGAATTGAACCGATGAAGGATCGCCAGCATTCGCTAGAGCCGCTGGATTGGGAGACGGCGGCCGCGACGATATGGTGTCTGGATGCAGGTGAAGTGGAAGCCTAGCAAGGCGCTGGTCGATTCGGATCTCTTCGGTCTGAACACCGATGGATTTCGAAGCAACAGGCGACGATAGAAGTGATACTTGACAAGCGGCATCCTTGTTATAAAGTGGCAGTCTGGGCTCGCGCGGGGTCGACGGCCGACTCGTGGGTGGGATGACGCTGATGCTGGGAATCGACAACTCTCTCAAGGGGGCAAATTCCGGCAACTTCTGCAGCGGCTCTGGCTCATCTTCCTTCTCGGTCTGTGTCGAAGCTGACACCATGGGGACAGTCTCGATCTCCGGAGATGGTGGTGTCATGGACCGGAATGGGGATTTGGGCGTCTTGGGCGGGCTCAACGGCTCCTCTGCTGTCTGCGATCCAGCCGAAACCATCGATTCTTGAAGACGGTACGGTGGTTCGATGCTTAGTGGTCTGGCGAGCTGAACGCGTTTCCGTCTCTGATTCGCCTCGATTTCCAGCTCCGCGTGACGCTGGCTGTCGCCTTCGGGAGGTCTTTCGACCTGTGTGAGGGGTTCTGGCGTCGCCGGTTTGAATGCTTCGAGCGTGGGAGACGGAGGAGGGGAGAACTGCACTCCCGTGTCTTTGTAGACTGCCTTCGGCGCAGGTGGTGCTTCCTCTTCGTCCTCTTGGATCCCATCTTCCAGGGCCTCCAAGACGGTCTGGTTCACCCAAAGTTTGCCACGCGCAACGCTGCCTGGCCTCTTCAGGCTTTCAATGCTTTGGTTGCGACGGTGCATTCTGGACATAACGCTGTCGCGGCTCATGTTGCGCGTATGGCGGTGATGCGAGAGCGCGCTCTCCCTACCGCCATCATCTGTGTGCCAATCGTCATCGCCGTCAAGATTGAGCTCATCCGCGAGGCAGTTGCCGATGTTCGTCTTCCCGGGACTCTGTTGTGTCGAGAACCGAATGCTGTTGGTCATGCTCATTGTGCGGATGCTCGCCGCATCGGTCTCACGACCAGTCTCCTCCGCCTCGCTCTCGGCGCCATGTCCATTGGTGTGCGCGTTCTGGTAGGCGGCAACCTCATCAAGAACCACTTTCATTCTGGTCTCAGCAATGTGGATTTTCCGCTCATACTTTCGCTTCTCTTCATCCCAGGCGTCCTTGTCGCGCGTCCACAAGTCATGAACACGCTGAGAGTCATCTTCCTGCGTTCGAATCTTTCGCTGTGCCACATCGAGTCGTTTCTTCAGTTCCGTTGCAGATTCAACCGCTTCATCCCTCTCACGAGCCAGCTCTCCAATAGCGGACGAAGATCCACCCTCAAGGAGAGCCAATTGGCGTTTGAGGGACCTGGTTTCCTTTGCAGTGACAATGGCAGTCTCCTGTAGTGCCTCCTGCTCCCCTCGTGTAGCATGCAACGAAGCCTCAAGGTTCTCGATCAGTTTGATTTTATCTTCCTGATCCCTCCTCAAGTTGAGTATCTCGGCGACCAGGTTTGCATGGAGAGTCGGGGTGAATCGTCGAGGATCGAGAACGCTGATCGTGTCGTCGTTGGAAACGTCTTTTGATGACCGCTTGGATGCCTTGCCACCGCGGTCAACGGCCGGCAGGGGCGGAGAGGTCTGCATCCCTGGAGGAGTTATAGACCGTCGTGACCTCCTCGAAGCGTTGGACGGTGTTCTATAAGGTGTGTCTTGTGGTGTGGGTAATGAGTGGGAGGTCGGGCCGTTAGACTCATCCTCCGTCTCCCAGACAGCCATGGTCTTAGGCGTTCTCACGGTGACGCTCTCGATAAAGAGCGAGTGATCCGGTGAACATGAATCGACTTTCGCACGAATCAACTAGGCTGAAGGCATTCGACTTGCGCGCCGGCTGTCGGTGCGGTTGTGTGAGGTCGGGGGGTTCTCAGTGTAATCTAACGGCGGGGGGTCCAAGCACTTGGCCTTGCGTCGATGATCCCTGTTGGCAAGAAAACAGAACGAGAACTGGAGGCCGTGTCTGCGCCGACAATGATCAATGCATTGACGCTTAGTTGGCTGTTAGCAACCATTCAAGGCGTATAATACCGTAGAAGGCAGTCAATCACCCGGGGAGCCGGGCAGGGAAGATGCAGGGGCAGGAGCATACCTTGTACAGATCAAACGCGGAGCGAATGAATGAATTCTTGAATAAATGACCCCTTTCGGTCGCTCGAGCGGGAGACGCGATCAATTTTCGCACTGATTAACTATGATTCTTGTCAGCGTAAGATGCCGACGGTGGCCTTGCGCCTTAATGATTCGAGGGTGTCATGCTAAGCAGCGAGGATCTGGGATCGTGGTGATCTTACAGAGTGCAGATATCAGGGGCGAAAACCGAACTTGAAACGCTGAAGCCGTCGACAGCCGAAACGTGAGAGGAGTCGAGAACCAGAGTCGTCGAGACTGATAGACATCCAAAGCAACGCGAATAGATGAAGTTCGAAGCAACGCTAGCCGAGCATAGCTCGTCTTGAAGAAGCACTCGTACGGAATGTCGACGTTTCGGATTTTTTTTTATTTCTTCAGGGCGCGTTCTTGCTGGCGCACCGGGAGGTACAGAATGGACAAAGGTGAGAAAGGCAGCGTGTGGGGATGTCGAGTGTGTAAGTTTGAATGAAGAGTGAGGTCCGAGGCAGTCTTGTGCTGCGAAATGGTGAAATTCCTAGGTCGGCGCAGTTGCGGTCAGCTTCGATTCCCCCCCCCCCCCCCCCCCCCCTCTCCTCCTCGTAGGCTTCGCGGCGGTGGTTGGCGATGCCGACAGGCCGTCTGAGACAAGGGGAACGTACCGACGGTAGTAAATTGGATGGCAGCGAGTTGAAACACCAGAAGCAAGCCAACGCTAAAGAAGAAGCAAGTAAAGGTCCCCAGGCTGCGTCCAAGACAAGAGATGGGGTTCTGGAATGGCGGTAGAGTCTTTGATCTCCCCGAAGCGGGCTGGCTGGATTGTCGCGGAGTAAACCAGCTGCAGAGCTGCAAGGAAGCTCGTTGGCGGTCCGATGAAAAGCACCGAGGCGAACAGCAGCGGTGCGAACAGCAGGTTCTCCGGAGCTCAATGGATGAGGAGCAACAGATAGCACGAGGATGGAGAAGAGAAAGGAAGAGAAGAATGACGAGAGTTATTCCTTGATGGTGCTCTGGACTGCTGCGTACCGCGCACTCGATGCCAGGATGGCACAGGGACCTGGCAAGCCTGGGTCCCGAAGAACAAGAGACCCCGGACTGGTTATGTACGAATGCTCCACTGTGGTTTAGACTGGGCGAGCTGGCGAGCAGGGCTGCGGTCCTACCACGTACATGTACATGTACAGTACAGCTGCAGGGTCACAAGGGGGTAAATGGTGGAGGAATCCCTGATGCCTGAGGTGGGTTCCCGGCTCGAACGCGAGTGGTGCGGAGGTTGAGGCTGATCCAATGTGAAGGAGATTGATTGTTGTGAAGAAAAGAGAGGCAGCAGCGTCTGCTCTGCTCTCGCTCTCGTTGAGGCCAATGCAGTCAGAAACGTCGAGCTTTCTGGACGGCGACGAGTCAAGCTGGCCAGGTCCACTGGTCCTTGATCTCCCCTGGCCAGGGGCCCGGCTTGAGAAAAGACGGACCATCAATCAGACAGTGAGTCGAGTCGAGTCGAGTCGAATCGAAATCCCAGGGGGGGATTCCAGTTCGCATCCTTGTGTATTCGTATCCAATCAAATTGGTCCGCAACGGCCTGTCCGGCTGTGAGCACGATGGGCGAGCATTGCCATGAACGAAAGGGACCCCGTCAAGCCCGTTCCACAGGCTGCATGGGATCTGAGTGCACAATTGGCCGATTAGGTGCGACGGGATGGGAAAGGAAACGCGGATGCGATGCAGAGCTTGTTCACCGAGACCCCCGGCTCCATCCAGGGGAGAAATGAGAGAGGAAATTGCGGCCGCAGAAGCTTGCAGCGCGTTACTGCAGCTAGGGATTGGCACATTGGGCATGTGCTTCGGACCCCGGCTCAAGCTTGATACTCGATGCTCAACTCGGCACGACGATGGGGCGATCTCTGAAGCGAGGTACCGCCATCGTAAGAAGACAGAAAATCGTGCGGGGGGGTGGCCGACATGGAAGACCATCAAGGAAAGGAGCTGACGAAACAGTGTAGACAAGCAAGCAGGCCTCTCCGTTGCGCCCAAGACAGAGGCGGTTTGGGGGGAGGAGGAGGCAGAGTCAAGTCGAGAATGGCTAGCCGGCGAGGTTGTTGCATCAGAAGGACGTGACAGGGCGGAAAGAGCGCAGCAAGCGAAGACGGAAAGGAACAGAGCTCAAGCTCAAGCAAAGCTCAACCATACGAATACACGCGTTTTGGACCCCACTCGTCATGAACAGCCCAATCCAACATGGCGGCACAGGTGGAGTCCGGCATCGCGACTGCATTGGTCACCAGGCGCTCCAGCTCCACCACAGCCCGCCAGGGTATCGGCAGGCTAATCCTCTTGGAGAGAAGGTCCAACTTGAAACGGGGTTAGCGCAACTGACTCAAGACGGCTGGACGGGTGGCTGTTGCCCCCAAGAGCGGTTGGACGTCGGGAGGAGAAAGGCAGCAGGTCCATCCGCCCCTGGATTTGCCCGATGAGAAGATCTTTGCCCCAGCCATATGCTTGAGTGGCTGTTGCTGGGCATCCTTTGAGGCATGGGCAGGCAGAGGCAGCTCTTGCCTACCCGCTAGCCACTACTCGCTATTCGGCAACCACAACCCAGAGGTCAGCGAGGCACCTGCCCAACTGCCCACCTCAAGGCGGAGCGAGGTCTGCCCAACAGGCGGCAAAAGACGCCCCATCAAGGACACCCACCATCATCCACCATCACCCACCATCACCCACATCCAGGTCTAGTGGTCAGCGTTTCCTGCGTCGTTTTCTCTCGTTCCCTCCTCTCCCGGTGAACGGCGCTCAAGCTCAACCCGCCGCTAGGCATTGGGGACAAAGGCACAACCCCTCTCACAATGACAATCCCTTTATGAATTTGAGTCCGTCCGTCGATACCCGTCTGCCGCCTGCCGCCTGCCGCTTGCCTACTCTGGGGTATGGCGCCATGCGAGCCGAGTGCGGTGGAAGTATATTTGCTTTTGGGTGCTTCCTCGGATACTTGCCGTCGTCGCTGCAGAACTTTATTTGAATCATCTGTTATTGACAGGAATTCCAAGGGCAATTTGTTGAGGTGCCTACATGTAGGTCAGAGGCCTTGAAAACAGTCGGTGGCCGGCGTGCTTCGCTCAGCAAGGTCAACTACCGACAGCCTACCTAGGTACCTACATGTGCATGCGCAGTCGCCCACTCACCACCCCACGCACTACAGCACCAGAGTTGTGCACAGAACAGCAGCGACAGCCCTGTCACTGCAGAGGCACTTTTCCTGGATGGGTACGATAACAACGGCCATGCGGCGCAGTTTCATGCTAGCTGCCACCTGGACCAACGGTTCCAATGACGGGAAAGGCACACGGCTCGTGCCTCTGACAGCCAGAAAGAACCAACAGCAAGAGAGGACCATGTCAGCCCCTGACCAACTGCGGCCTCGTCATGTTGATCCCCCCAGACATCACTTGGACAAACTGGCGATCGGCGTCGGCAGGGAAATTGCGACTTCCATTGTCCCAGGCCGCGCTGTTGCGGCCGAACTCCAGTGGACCAACAGCCGGCACGTCTTCCTGTTGGGCCACAAGTCATCACCGTATCACAGTCACATCAGAACCTGGTCATCAGCCATGTATTGATCACAGCCCCAGGCCTGTCACACTTGCCCTAGTGTTCTCGAGCCACATTGAGCGTCACCATCTTGGGTAGAACACGATATCGACCACGTTCTCCCGAGACAAGCTGGCAAGAGATGGGGAAGCCGGCTCGCGTGACGCGCCCGTCAGAATTCGCAGTCCGGATCGCACTACATGTACGCATGTCATATGTTGGTTGCTCGCCTGTCTGCACCCTGTGCCGCGTTCTGCAGCCGTGCTTGCCGGTGTCCCCAGATTCGATTACTCCCCTAATGTAGCACCACCAACTAGGTATCGGTCAAGCTCGGCTCGCAGCAGACAGCTTCCCCGGTTGTGCAAGGTTGTCCATGCGAGCAAAGCCTCCAACGAGCCATCATTCGCAACACAGTACCGCTGAGCTGGACCTGCTCGTTTATTCGAAACCGGCGGGCGAAGATCCATTCTCCCGTGTGAACTAAACGCTGTCAGGAATACCACGCCGTCGGCACCAGTCTATCGCGGCTTTCCCTGCAAAGTATATTTCCAGCCCTTTTGCACGATGGTTTCCCCGATCCCAATGTCCACAACAGGGGAACCTGGACTTCGACTCCCAGTCCGCCTACGCCGCAAAGCTCTGAGGTTTTTTCCACCCAGTAGCAATCGCGCATCGCCAAGCCAGTGGCTGCTTGCCTTATCGGCTGTTAAAACAATCCGAGGCCATGGTTTGAGCCTTTACATCATGAGGGCTATGTGGCCATGCCTAGCCTCACCATGGGCATTTTCGTCTCGAGCATTGGGGCAGGGTTTCAAACGAGAGGAGTGCCACTACCAACATGCATTCAAGACTGCATTCTGTCGCGCCAGCTTCGAGCCACATTGCCCTGTAAGGGGCTTTTTGTCTGGACCTCGAATTTTGGGTCTCGACTCGGTCGACGGTTCCGTATCAAGAGCTTCCCCTCATTCCGCATCCCAGTTTCCTTTTTCACTTTTATTTCTTATCTGCTGTCACTGTGATGGTCACATTCGGTCTGCATTGCATGACCTCGGAAATCCCTTGCCATATTAATCGCGCCAAGCAGCCAATGCTGAGCTGAGTGTGGCGCTCAGCGCACTTTGGGTCTCTTTCTTGGCCGAGTCTTGGAGAATGGCCCGCAAGACTAGCCTCGTCCTTCTTGCTACGAGCCACAGGCGGTTGGCCACGTCCATCGCAGAGCCTTGATCGGATTGTGAGTTGTCGGATGGTCGCGCCGGTACCCTGAGATAAGGTTGCCTGCGACAAGCGTTTGCGAAGGCTTTACAAGAAGTTTTTGAACATGTAGGGGGTTAATATTGCGTGTTTTCTGTGTTTTCAACGGTCCGCATATATCTGTTGGTTCCAATGCACGCCAGACGTCTCCCCGCTACTATGCGGTTCCGGCCTTGTGAAGGTTAAGCCTCGCGCAGGATTCGCAGTCGCCCACCGCGTGCGACATGAGGTCGGTGGTCAAAAAACCACCCGCTTTCTTCGAGCGTCCTCATCGTGCAAGAAAGGCGTGGTCGATAACAAGCACGTCATTTCCGGGTCCTTGGCATGATTCCTGGTCAAATAACAAATGCTAGCCTTAAACGCACGAAATTGTGGTGGAGTTCTCAGTTACGTATCTCATCGAGATACTTGTCGTCTCCGCTTACCATGGGCACACTCAACCAACACTCATCAACTTTCTCACACTATACAGCCCTAAACTTGCTGGCAATACTCCATAGCTGTTTTCCTTAAAGTGAGTATCCAACAGAGCCCCATCATATGCTCATACGTGCCCGTCTGGTGGGTATCACCACTCCTCTAACAGTCACCCGGGGTTGATATCGATGCCTCGATGCCTCCGCCGTGGCACTGACGTCCTTGGGACCGGTATGGAGGCCTCGGGGCTGAGCCAGGATGATTTCATAACTTTGATTGCCGGAGGAACTTCCTTGCGATCAATTGTCCCTGCTGTTGTAGGCAGATGCCCAGTCATAGCAGGCCTTGGCCGTTGAATGGAGCGTAGTCCGAGCCCGGTGAGACCGAAATCAGCATCACGACGGCAAAGGAACGGGGAAGACTGGCAGGATTATCAGCCATGCATGGGATTGGTAGAATGGTGAGCTGTGACTGCTTGTCACCGCCGGTATAGTATAGAGAATCATCGCCTGGACTGTTGAACCATCGTGGCGGTTCAAACCCTCCCACCCAACAAAACGATCATTCGTCACAAGGTGATGTCAATGGCAGTCAACCTTGCTGCTGGTGCGACTACGCTTGTTCAGTTACCGAGTTCTTGATACGGGGCAACTCGTAGTTGATATTGGAAATGCGACGTTGAAGGACTGTTGTCATGATGACATGAATCTCGCTCAGTCGATTATGTACCAGCCACAGTTTCCCCGGCATGATATATTGTCTCTCGAACGGGATATCGGGTGAGCAGGTAGTCATGGGTGGGATCCCGGCGATTTCCTAACTACATACATTTTGCATTTGACATCGTCGATATCGCTCGTGGATATTCATGCTGACACTCAGAGTTTGTCAAGTGGCATTCGCAGTGGGCAGGTTCATTCGGCTAAGCATCTACACACTTGATCAGTTTCGTCATCTCTTTAGCCCGGCACAGCTTCAATCTTGATCTCCCACCCAGGACTAGCGAGATGCATCCTGCCGTCTTATTCCCACGAGCTTCACCCGTCAATTAGTGTTAATCCAGATCATTTACCCGCAGATAGCAATCACTGCGGAGAAGGCTACCATCTCGTGGTTGCCTCCGACAGACGCATTGTGTTGATATGGATCTTGGTCAGTAGACATCAGGAGACACGTGAAGAAATCTTCAGGAACATGGCAAATATGCAGAGTGTGGGAGACTTCAAATGCTGAACCAGGTCATTGGCGAAAGTCTCCCTCGGCAAAGACATACGTGAGAAGTAGCCGTCGTTTTGTCATGTGACCTGGAAATTTGTTGGACAAGTCCTCCGATGTCTACAGCCGTCACAGAACTGAAAGGTCGAGTCAGACCCATCAGCCAATATCCGACGCATATAAAGGCCCGTCTGGCTGAGGAGATGGATGTGCGTCGATACTCCGAACTTTCGGAGGTGACAGGTGATGCATCCTTGGCGTCACAAATATGCGAAATTGCGAGCACGTGCACATGCGGGACGATGGTATCAAGCACATCGCATCCGTTCCTGAGCGATTTCAGGCAACGGCTCTAGATCGGAGGGAGGAAACGAGCCAATCTAGTCATCCTGCCGCCTCGACGCACAACAGTCGGCGTGACGCCCTGGTCGCAAGGGGGCCGCGCTGCTATTGCAACTTCAGGCGACCTGTCACTCCTCGAACGGAGTCCTGACAGCCTACGGCTTCTTCTCTGACCTCTGCAACTGGGCACTGCTGTTTGCTTCATATTAGAGGCTCCAAGCGAAGGCAGCCTGGAGGATGGCTCGTAATCATGGCTGTCTATGATACCGAGCTGATGGCGATTCACCCCTGGTTGTTGTTTGAGTCATCTCGGAAGCATCCTCAGAGGGGAACAACACTACCCGAAGCAAGATGTATGCATGCTTGGTTACGAATGGGGCCACAAGGCATGTCACTTCCTGGATTTGGGCTAACAGAGTCAGGCAACAACCCGACGCGAGGTAGGCCTACTGGCAGATCGTTGTTGCAACAGACTAACAGGACGACCGAGGCCTTGAAACAAGAATGACTCGAAATTCGCAGGCTTCACGGGCAACCTAGAAGTTATTGCACCCAGGCCGGGAATGCAAATCCCATGCCAGGCCGGCCTTGGCTCAAAGTCGCCGGCCTAACCGTTCCCGAGCCGAGGCAGCGGCGCCGGTCAGGGTGGGGAGCCCTTCACCTGCACTCCTCCGCCCGTCCGACAACGTCATCATCTAGTCAGTACAGGCTCATGGCAGCCACCTTCGTACATAAAAACACATCACCCTCTGCCCCGGCTTCGAGAGAGAATCGTTCAATTCATTCGAGCACCGCCATCATGTCGTCCTCTTCTTCCCCTGAGCTTATCAAAACCCAGGTCAAGGCTATGACCTTTGACGTCTTTGGCACCACTGTCGACTGGCGCTCCTCCGTAACCGACGAGCTCACCAACCGGGCCGCCTCCAAGAGCGGAGAACACGGCAACGACGACCGCACCGCTACCCTCCGCCGCCTGACGCGCGATGACTGGGGCCGTTTCGCGCAGCAGTGGCGTAACACGTACAGCACCTTTGTGCGGGAATTCGTCCCGGGCGAGACGCCGTGGAAGGACGTCGACACGCACCACTATGATGCCCTGGTCGATCTGCTGGCTGAGTGGCAGCTCGGGGGAATCTACTCGGACGCCGAGGTGAGAGAGCTGAGCCTGGTCTGGCACCGGCTACGACCATGGGATGAGGCCGCCAAGGGCTTGCGGCTGCTAGGCGGGCAGTACGTCACGTCAATGCTGTCGAACGGGAACGCCTCTCTGCTGCGGGACCTGGACGACTTCGGAAGTCTTAACTTCCAGCGGCGGCTGTCGGGAGAGGATTTCAAGGCCTATAAGCCCAATCCCAAGGTGTACCTCGGAGCCGCCCAGAGCCTTGAGATGGCGGAGCCAGGGCATGTTGCCATGGTCGCCGCTCATCTCGACGACCTGGAAGGGGCACGAAAGTGTGGCCTGAGGACCGTTTATGTTGAGAGGCCGGGCGAAGAGGCTTGGAAGAAGGATGAAGATCGATATCGAAATGCCAAGGACTGGGTCGATATCTGGATTGGGGAGAAGGATGGTGGCTTTGTTGAGCTTGCGAGGAGACTGGGTGTCGAGCAGTGAGTCTGCTCAGCTAAAAGGCAAATGATGCATTAATGACAATGTTCAAATTCAACGCTGAGGTGTACGAGCACACTTTCAAACAGATAAAGACATTGTGTCGCGCCTTGCGAAGCAGCGATTGGAGACACGTAGTCAGCAGAAGACAAAAGTTGCCCTTTACGCTGTGGTTTGGCGAAGGGATGGACGGCAATTGCTAAACTATCTCGTGTGGTTGAGAAGTTACAATACATGTCGGAGAAACATCATACAACACCATCTTGGCATTGCTTAATTGGGTTATTGTGTTGTAATCGACTACGCATTGTAGTAGTCGTGATGACCGAAAAGGCATTGCGTTGTGGACTGATTTATAAATGTACAAGAAGCCAAGACAGTCATTCAAAGAAGAGTTCTGGTGTAGTCAACCAAGAGTGGCATGCCCCAGCCGGGATTGGGTCTAGAGACACACCTAGGACATGATGGCAGGCCAGAGCCGAGGCATTGGAGTCGGCCATGGCAACTGCAGAGGGCCTGCTGACTTGATATCCGCTGTCTTCCGAAAACGATTATATTGGACCGAGGAGCTTAGGAGAGACATGGGTTTGAGACATTTCACATGAAATTGGAAAAGACAGCTGACACCAAGCAGCAAATGTCCGTCGCCGCCTTAAATGTTCAAAAGTAGTAGGGAAGAAACGTGCCTGGTAAACGAGGTAGTATGTATATGTACTTCAGGGTGAGCTTACGACTGGAGAGATATGCCAACCAAGGAACAAGTTCAACGGCGTGGCCGCCTGGGCAAGGCATGCGCGATAAGCTGAAAAAGTGACACTGTCTCGAACTTACAGTCGACATGTTATTGGAATGTCGAACCAAGGCGGGCTAGAGCAAGCGAAATATAGACCAACTGGCACCACCGAGTAGTACTCCGGCAAGGCAACGATGTGCTTGCACACAGCTATGTGTGGCATCAGTAATGGGAAGAAGAAGTATCCGTTATGACCCGTGACATCTAGAGAGCCTGCAAAGTCAGCCGCCGATCAAATGAATCCGACAAGGCACGAGAAACTGTTGTCAACCTCAAAATAGTTACCATACCTCCGATGTTGCCGTGCTGTTTGTGAAGACAAAGAACACAAGGCGGGGCACGATCCATTTGGTTGCTGGGCAGTCAACGGTCAGGCATGCGTGAGGAACGGGTGGCAAAAGCAACCGCATTGTCTCGGAAAGGATCCCTTGAACACCGTTGCCCCTCCATAGGCGTGTGGTTGGCCATGCCCCGCGTCAACCCAGGGTGGGCAGCGTCTGGGGTAAAGCCTGACGAGCCAGACAGACTGGGGTCATGAGCTGTTCGCAGATCGCCTGGTACCTTGAAGATCAGTGGTGTAGACGTACCAGTAGCTCTTTGGGCGAGTAGTGCCGACAAGGTGACTTTAATAAAAAAACGGACTGACCATGTCCGAGTACTGAGCATCGCCAGAATGTTGACTGGTGGAGTGGAAGCGACACAATGACGCCAATTGGGCTGTTAGGCAGCATGTGACTTTTGAGTGTGGTCAATTTGGTCAGGGAAAGCCGGTTGCCGCTCCCAGGCTCAGGCCAAGCAAGTCCAGTCCATTGACAGGTGACCCTGGCAGACTCAAAGCTTGAGGGAGATGGCAGAAAAAAAGGGACTTTCTGAGTGTGTGGTTGATTCGCTTGCACACCCTCTTTTCGCGCAAGCGCCAGACGTGCGTCGTCATGTCATATGCACGGGCGGGCTCCATGCTCAGCACAGCACATGCAAAAGCACGTCGGTCGTAGAAGCATGCGTGTGTCCTCCAACTTCCTCCTCAAGGGAGGGGAAGGACCAATTGAGCGGGAGGGGGAAGAGTCGAGGGCGACTCATAGGCCGTGAGAAGTGGCAGGTTGCAGGTCGTACACCAGGTCCGAAATCGTGGTCCAGGGGCGAGGCCAGGTCATGTGGCTCTAGAAGAATGCACATATTGCTGCGTCAGCTGTGTGATGTTCGTGGTTTGTCAATAGACCAGTGTCGTTTTGGCCGCATCCGTGCCTTCTTAAGTTGACGTGAGGCGGCCATTGATGCCAAGAGCTTATTAGTGATGATGGCTGTAGGGGTGGTGCTTGTCGAGGGCGAGAGGGTGTGTACAGTGGACGACAAGTCTGTGGGGAGAAGGAGAGGGGCCAAGGGACCTGCCATGAGGGGAGCCCTAAGAGATGCGGATAGTCTGTCGATGCGCGGCGGTTGCTTGCCTGGCCGACCGTGTCGCGTGCATGGCATGGCATGGCATGGCATAACATCGCATGGCATGGAATTGTATCGCATGGAAACGAGAAGGATGAATAGGGATGGTGGAGGTAGGATTGGAAGATGGGATGGATGGTGGTCGTAAATTCATCCGGACTGCTTCCCTACCGCGCCAGCCTGTTCCTTGAACATCTCCCAACCCTCGCAAGCGTAAGCGCAATGCAGTTTTGCTTGTTGTTGTACCAGAGACTGTTCGGTGAACGACTCAAATGACTTCTGGGGGAAAGGGTGATTCATGCAAGCCGAACGCATTTGCCACTTCTGGAGAGGGCAAGAAGGCGCAGCCGACACACTTTATGTCCTGTCGTTGGTGGTTGCCGTCGATATTGCCGTCCCTGTCACGAGTGCCGTTGCCCGATATGCTTGGACATCTCGATGGCGATTGTCATGATTCGCCCAAGGCAGGTCATCGGTCAAGCAAATACCTCAAGGTGAAGTACCTAGGTTGGAAGTGAGCACATACAATGTTCATTTGAGAGTCGCAGCCCGAGGCTGGAGAACCTTTTTTTTTCTTATTTTTTTTTAATACAGGATCAACGAAGCCGGGAGGCAGGGACCATAGTTATGGCTTCCACCCCAACTGCTTTGGAATCACAGGAACGAAGGTAGGTGTGAGGGTGAGTGAGGATCAGGTAGAGTCTGTCGGTCCGGGTTGCGGGGGTCGCTACTCTCCACTCTCCTCTCTGTGGCTTCCTGCCTCTCCTCGAATGGTGCTTTTGGCGGTACCTTACTGCACACGGGAAGGGGGCTGTCAGTCCACAGCCAGCAGCATCCTTTTTGCTCCCTCCTCCGTCCCATCTTGCCCGCCGGGGTCTCCACCCATGGATCCGGTCTCTTCCTGTTCCATCCTCACAAACTTGACAGGGTAGATGCACCTTTGCGCAAGGCGGGGCTCTCTGGTCTGTCCATTCCGCACCAGCACTACGTTCAGACTAACAAGCACCAAGAACCAGGCACTAACCAAGCATCAAGCAAAGCACCGAATTGAACAAACGACCCGACAAATCAAGCTCATAGACCTCGATCATGGCTTCGGAACTTGGCAACCGAGCATTGATTACACATTTCCAGGCTTCACTAGACGCAGGCCGTGGCCATCTCGCCAGGCTCGTCCATCGCCCATCGCCCATCCCACCGCACACATTTCCCAGGCACCTACCTGCTTCAGTATCTGCCGTTACTACTGTCCCTCACCCGCCCGAGCTCAGCTCCAGGGATCAAGGAGAGCCACTGCAACCAACCAACCAGCCTGGAACCAGTCGCAGCCGGGCTTCGAGGGCTCAGGACCCAGTACCGGTACCGGTACCAGAGCTAAAGCGCTAGGTACCTCGACCCGAGCAAGACCGTCTCCACCCCTACCTTACCAACACAGTAAGGTACCAGGTGAGGTACCTTAGCTCGTCTCCGCCCCTTTGCTGAGGGTGCCTCATGCTGTGCCTTAGGTTGTCCCATCTTCCAACTTCCAGTGCCTGTCCGGTGCTGTCCACCTCCTCCTCTGCATGTCCACCAAGTCCCTAGTTCCTAACCCCCTACCTACCTAGGTACCTAGCCCCCCCTCCCCGGGCCCCAGTCCCTGGTCTCCAAGTGAGTCCCGTCCCACGTCTTGGGCTCCAAATTCCATCCAGACTCAGCGTTCGCTTCCCCCCCCCCAGTCTACGCTCCAACCTATCCTCCTTTTGCACCACCCCGCCGCCTGCCAGACCTGACCTGCTAGCCTATCTATCTACCTTACCTACCTCGTCTGCTCGCCGACCTGTTCGCCGTCTTTACCCTTCCACCACAAAAACCACTTCTGCGACAATCTCTCAATCGCGACTCATCTCCAACTCTGTCGCTCGCCTCCATACTTCTCATCGACTGGCGCAGACAAGAGAAGAGACGAGACAACCTGACCTGCGCTGCTTTGCCCCCTCGCCCTTGAGTTGCCGTCCGCAAACCCCATCGCCCTCCCTCCACTGACTCGGCCCTCTCGCCGGTCAACTCGGTTTTGTCCTCCTGCCCATCATGGCGGGAAAAATGGTCCTCTACAAGCTGGTGGTCCTGGGAGACGGTGGTGTGGGCAAGACGGCCCTGACCATCCAGCTCTGCTTGCAGCATTTTGTCGAAACTGTAAGCGCTCAATTCCTCTCTTTTTCGTCCTCTGACGCCAACCCCGACTCGTTCCCTCACCCTCGCCCTCGCCCCCTCCTCAAATCCCCACCAGTGCGTCGCTGACCCGCCTCGCTCCTGCCTAGTATGACCCCACGATCGAGGATTCCTACCGGAAGCAGGTCGTTATCGACACCCAAGCATGCATGCTCGAAGTCCTCGACACTGCCGGCCAGGAAGAATATACCGCCCTCCGAGACCAATGGATCCGAGACGGCGAAGGCTTCGTTCTCGTCTATAGCATTTCGTCACGATCCTCCTTCTCCCGCATCAAGAGGTTCCACCACCAGATCCAGCGGGTAAAGGAGTCCTGCGCCTCTTCACCCTCTTATCCTGGTTCACCCATATCGGCCGTTCACTCCCAAGCGCCTGTACCCATCATGCTCGTTGGCAACAAGAGCGACAGGGTCACGGAGCGCGAGGTGTCCACCCAAGAAGGACATGCACTGGCTCGCGAGCTGGGCTGCGAATTCGTTGAGGCCTCCGCCAAGAATTGTATCAATGTCGAAAAAGCTTTTTACGATGTTGTCAGAATCCTCCGCCGCCAGCGCCAGGCAGCTTCCCGACCACAGCCCAACGGACGCAGCTCGACGCGCGCGCACAACTCCAGCTCACAAGACTACAACACGAAGGAGAAGAACGACGGCAGCCGAGGAAAGGGCGACAAGAAGAAGATCAAGTGCGTCATTCTATAAAGGCTTGATGCCTCGAACGTGCGATTCTCACGATGCGATTTTATTCATCACGATTTTATGATGCCCCATAGAGCGTTCGGCCTTTCATCCAAAGGGCCGGTATTTTCATGACGCACGAGAACCAATCCTCTTATCCTCCGCAAAGATTTGTTCTGCCACTCGCACTGGGCCACGCATGTCAACTCGAAAAGAAACAGGACGAGTTGCAGCCGAGCTGAGTCGATTTCAGTCGAATCGCCACCCCAGATCGAGTAGCTTTTCAACCGGCGAATGGCGCACACACACAAACACACCAAGAAAGGAGTCATGTCCGTGGCGTTTCTGATTTTAAGGCTTGGGCGGCTTGGGAGTTTGATTCTTTCATTCCAACACGTGGACGCCACCTGACGGAGTTCGCGGAGTCCGTGGTTTATTTTTTTAAAGCAAGCTGACAGACCTGTTCGCCAACGATAAAATCCTATTCTACCTCACATGCTACCGACCTGTCTCATACACATCCTTGCGCAAACCATGCCACATCTCAATTCGGAGACTTTTTTCTTGGATGCCTGGGCAGGACTAGGGTTCTTCGGGTAGGGAGGGGGGACGCGAGAGAGGGGAAAGGAAAAGGAGTAGGATAGTGGTGGAAGTAGCGGTCGTCAATCGATTCACCCAGATGGGGGGAAACGTATCTCCGCCGCCAGGAACAGGAACAACCTCGCCGCGGCACAAGCCACGCCGTACAAGGGCGAGAGTCATATATCAGCATTTCCAGGGTGGGATGTGTATCTAACTATGTCTTCCGGCACTGGTCACTCTTACGTGCATGGCCCGTCTCCAATTCTACGTTTCAACAAGTACCTGCTGCTTCCCCAAGTATCTACATGGTATCTAGTCGCTGTCTCGCTCATCTCGCTCCGTCTTACCCCGGACTTCACACCCCTCGACCGTTCGACCGAGAACAAAGGCAGGTCCAAGTTTGATGGATAGTGCCGATGCGCCGATCGCTCGTTATTCAAAAAGATGGGGTGCCTCAAGAGTCTTGGGCAGGCTCTACATGTGTCAACGGGACGATTTGCCGGGGCTTTCTGCCTAACAACGTTGACCACCGGTGCATGCTCCCGGCGGCAGGTTTTCATTTGACGCCTCGTGCACCACACAGCCTGTGCGGAATCACAACTGCGTGGCTCGGAACCGAAACACAGACGACAGATCCCATACTGCAAGGGGTGGGGGACTAGGGGCGGACTGAAGAATACATGTATGCTGTGTGCCCCGTCAACTGACTCAATTGCTCCGAGCTGCCAACCAGGGCAACCTCACATCAGGGCTGCCCTTGTGTGCCCCTCACCCCTTGCCCCCTCCCTCCAGCCGGCGACGTGGTACATGGTAGAGGGGAGGAGGTTGGGACTTGCGGAGGGTGGAAGCATTAGAGGGTTTTCGGCACTATCGAGGCTGGGGCGGTGCTTGACGCTACTTGGCTTTCCGGCTGCTCCATTTTGCTTTTCCGCCAACGGCTGCCACTCCTCCTCCTCCTCCTCCTCTACCAAGCTTGCCGTGGGATTGGAATGTACAAGTACCGAGCGTGAGCGCACCCGTCGACGGTTTAGGCCAGGGTCAATGGCTTTCCCTAGGCTTTGGTCCTTCTCCCTGGTTGGCGACCAGCGAGATGGTGCGACCGCCGTACGGACCCGTTGAGGCTGGCAGCCGCGCATCAAGGGAGGACTGGGGGGGTGCAAACACGAGTTTTAGGCCCAGAGGAACAACGAAGTCTAAACCATCTCATGTCGAGCTTGACATTGAAAACAGCAATGGTCTCCGGCGCCTCGCGTGGCACGAGGTGCGGCTCGGGGAAGGGGGGGGGGGGGGGGGGGGGGGGGAAAAAAC